AGCTTGAATTGTAGTTCGGTTGTTTGCTGCCGGGTTTCTCCTTTGCAGAAAGCGCAGGTTAGACTTCCTTTAGAAATTAACTCGATCCATGGCATGCTCTATTTTAATTTTTATTATTTTTATGTTACTATGCCTGCTTATCTACCGAAGTATATTGCTTTTATTTAGGTTTCTTAGGCTTGCAACAAGAAAGAGGAGTGACTTTTTAATTAAAATATATGCATGTATCAGAGAGTTACCTTCTGCTTGTTACTATTTGACTGTTATAGTTAATTACTATGGGTTGGCTCAAGTCAAAGTTCATACTCCAACATTTTTAAGTCAAATCATTGTAATCATCTACAATTTTAAGTATTCTATTTTTCTAGTTTTTCAATGCTCGTTCATGTCTGGTCACACAATTCTGTAGGATTTGTGAAAACATAAAATTAAATGCCTATAAAATTAAAAAAATTTAAACAAGAGACCCACCAGTTAGTTAGAGAAACCCCATCTCTCTCTCCTTTTCTTCCTAAGTGGAAGAAAACTTTCAATGACTCTGTTTAGTCATCTCTTGCAGGTGACAAGTCTGGTGAAGAAAGGTGCAAAGAAAATAACACTTAGTATTGGTGATGGTGCTAATGATGTTAGTATGATTCAAGCAGCTCATGTGGGCATTGGAATAAGTGGGCAGGAGGGAATGCAAGCTGTGATGGCTAGTGATTTTGCTATTGCCCAGTTTCGCTTTCTCACAGATTTACTTCTTGTACATGGACGATGGTCATATCTTAGAATCTGCAAGGTTCCCTCTTTTCTTTTTTTTTTTTTGCGCTTTTTGAACTATTTCTCGCATGTATTCTCATTCACTTGCTGTTTATGACATTTATTTTACGAGAATTTCAATTAAATGTTTATGAACTTACTTATTCTCTGGCAGGTTGTCACATACTTCTTTTACAAGAATCTTACGTTCACTTTAACTCAGTTTTGGTTCACCTTTCAAACTGGATTTTCTGGTCAAAGATTCTATGATGATTGGTTCCAGTCATTGTATAATGTCATATTTACGGCCCTACCTGTAATAATGGTCGGACTATTTGATAAGGTAGTGCATTCTTTCTTACGACTTTGCTCATGGCATGTAATGCTCTGCTATTGAAGAGATTACTATAGTTCGTGGAGGATTTCTTTTGTTTCTTTGAGATGAAATCTATCCTTGTACTCTCCCTACAAATTAATATTATATTTTTTGTATTCTTTTTTTCAGGATGTTAGTGCGGCCCTATCTAAAAAGTACCCCGAGCTCTATAGAGAGGGAATAAGAAATGTGTTTTTCAAGTGGAGAGTTGTAACAACTTGGGCCATCTTTTCCGTCTACCAATCTTTAGTCTTTTATTATTTTGTAACCGCTTCCAGTTCCAGCAGTCAATCGGCATCTGGCAAGGTGTTTGGTCTATGGGATATCAGCACGATGACTTTCACATGCATTGTAGTGACTGTGAATTTGCGGCTGCTTATGATCTGCAATTCAATTACTAGGTGGCATTACATAACGGTTGGGGGAAGCATTTTAGCATGGTTCATGTTTATTTTGCTATATTCTGGTCTTATGACACCACATGATAGGCAGGTTAGTCTTGTTGCCCTTTTATTCAATTTTAATTTTAATTTTAATTTTACATTTTTCATCTAATGCTCACATTTTATTATTACTCTTTTGCTGCAGGAAAATGTATATTTCGTCATATATGTCTTAATGAGCACACTCTATTTTTACGTAGCTGTCCTCCTTGTCCCTGTCGTTGCGCTTCTTTGTGATTTTGCTTACCAAGGGTAAGCATTCTTCAAACTCTTTTGTGATATTATAGGTAGACAACATCACGTAATTTTCTTGTTTCTTGAACTTCTTTTTTTGTAAGTTTATCGTTTAGGGCTGCAACCCATTTAGCTTTATACAGAGTCGAGACTCGTAGGGCAATTGTTTTTAGACTTTAGATCTACGTATGTTGAACCTTGGTCTTTTCTCTCGGGTTCGTAAATTAAAAGCCTAAACAATTAGGCATAACCTATCTGGCAGCTTTCTTTTTCCAAGATGGGAGCGAATTCTCATTCTGGAATTCCCTCTTGTTTAACAGAAAAAACATCAAGATTAAGATAGTGACTCAATTATTTTTCATTGACAATTTTCTTTTTTTTATGTGGATACAGCATTCAGAGATGGTTTTTCCCCTATGATTATCAGATAGTTCAAGAAATTCATAGGCATGAACCTGATGGTAGAAGTGCGGTAGGATTGTTGGAGATTCCGAACCATCTTACACCGGAAGAGGCAAGAAGCTATGCCATGTCTCAACTCCCGCGGGAGTTATCGAAGCACACTGGCTTTGCTTTCGATTCACCTGGCTATGAGTCATTTTTTGCTGCACAGCTTGGTATTTATGCCCCACAGAAGGCATGGGATGTTGCCAGGAGAGCCAGTGTGAAGTCAAGACTAAAGATTAGGGAAAAGAAATGAGATAGAACTAATCATTATATTGTACAAAAGTTTTCTCATCAGAAGTGAACCTCAGAAAAATCATTAGTACTAGTTTTGCTGTGCCATATATTTTCTCCCATTAGTTGTCTTTTTTCCTCATGAGAGCCTAGTGGTTATTAGGAATGTAATGGGTGTATATCGATATCTCGATGTAATTTAATACCAAGTGAAAGTGTAATTTCTGACTAATTGGATTGTAGCTATAGCCCCATTGGAACCTTATAGCAGTACTATTAAGGGAAATTTTTCAGAACATGTCTGTTTACTGCTTCATGGAGATGGCTGCTTAAGCCATGTAGCCTGTGTGCAAGTTGTAGACGACAGCATAGAAAATGGCATCGTTGATGTGATGGTCTTTGCTACTCAACTCTGACCAAATTCTTAAATATCCAATTTCAAGAACTTGAAAGGTCTTCAAGCCTGCAAAATATCAGATTCAAATTCCCCAAAGATTTCGACCTCTGAAACGGGTCACAATTGTTGTGGATGCTTTAATCTTTTGAACTGCAACTTGTAGCATACGTTTGATCCATTTGTTGGGCTTGTTCATCAGCTTTTTTAGTGTAATTCTTGTTGTTTTAAAAATCCATTGCTTGAGTGGGAAACTTTCCATAGTCAAGAACTGATGTAGACGACAATTAAGAACTTAATTATGTGGTGCATCATTTATATGCTCTCTATTTTTGAGACATAACAAAAACTAAGAATCATTTTATTTATCATATCTTTCTTTTTTAAGAACAATCAAGTTAAATTCAAGAGTTATTAATTCTAGAAGAACCTTGCAAAACTACTTTCTTAGCCTTAGCCACTATTTTATTCCAATATCAAAACATTGAAGTGTTCTACATAGACGACACATGGACAATTCAAAAACGAAGAAACTCATCAAAATTAAAAGAGAAAAAAAATGGATTTGGGCATTTAGAATCGTTGCTTTGAGGATATGTAAACATTAAATGAAATATTGTTCCAGCAGTGATCATAATCATATCAAATTAGTGGGAACATATTACCAAAGTTGTCTTCTGGAATCCATGTGAATGAGACTTCTAACACTGTGCAGCATTCCTTTTCATCTTCCATATTAAAACTATCAAGAAGAAGAAATCCCGACGAAGCTTTGAAACTTCTTATACTAATTGATGTCTTATCCATTTGAAGTTCAGACACTCGACGAGTAATTAAATTTAAACTCGGTTCAGGTGTTTTGACAACATAATATGCAGTCTTGTACGAGAGTGATGGCTTGAAGGAGAAGGAAGATATGAAAGAAAGATGCTTTGAAAACCCAATTAAGAACATTAGATGATAATGTAAGTGTGAAGTAATTGTGTAGTGCTCCAAATGGCTTCCAGCTCTTTCCTCAATTATTGTTTCTTTTTTGTACGATGCCTACTTCAGAACCCATCAGCTCACAATCTGATTCTATTCCTCAATTATATCGTTTTCTTATTAATTAATTAATTAATTCCTCACCCATATTATAAATAAACTTTATTAATCATGTATTATAACTTTTATTTATTTAATATCTAGATACGTATTGACATTCCTCTACCCTACTATACACATCACATTTTCTCTTCTTTCTTTAATGTTCTTTTTGTTTTCCATCACAATTTTTTAATTAATTATTCGAGTTTCGTCGACCATTTGTCTCACCGACCTTATTTTGACCTTAATATTAAAACGAATTTAGAAATATGCTCTTTGAATACCTCGTATTCGAGAGATGTGCAATAGGTATATGTATCAAATATTCATCTATAATATATTCAATCTTGTTTTTGATAAAAAATTAGAAACAAAAAACTTAAGTGCTAATCGAGAAATAATTTAATTTTTTTCCCAACGTGGGATAAATTATATAGTTATAGTATAAAGTTAAGGTTAATGATATGATGGTAGAATATATATGTATGGTTGTTTGGTTGGAGAATATATATTGTAATGTAAATAAGAGTTGGGTGGTAAGGCATTTGATTCCTTTAAGCTCTTTTTTGTTCATAAGACTGTGAGATCCCATAGGGAATGGATTAGAAACATTGTGCCATATGCTCTCTCTTTCTAATATATATAACCTGCCTGCCCCCTCCTTCCCCAATTACATATACATATATACAAACAAATATAAACAAAGATTCCCCGTCCCTAAAATAAAATTCAAAACCCTAATCGCAAAAACGATGTCTAATGAAAGTTTCAAACTTTTAACTTCTCGAGTCCTATTTAAATGAATTGAGATGACTAAAAGTTATAACTTTGATAATAGACTACATAACTCATTTGAGATATTTTAAACTTTTTGAAAGTTTTATTAGACGAAAAAAATGATAGTTTTATGGTTTAACAAGGTTAATTTATGTTGTAACTTTGATAATGGACGTACCGAATTCGAGATATTTTTAAACTTTTATTAGACTAAAAAAATGATATTTTTATGTTTCTTCACACACAAGCATTGGAGTTAATGTAATAGGAATAATATTAGATGTAAATTAATATGACATGTTAGAATATAATGGTGTGTGTGTGTGTGTCAATAATAAACAAACAGGCAAGGCAGGGTTTGAGAAAAGTGCAACAGAATCCACCAACCCTATAAAGAAAAAAAAGACAACTCCCTAATTAAACATGCACTCCCCTTTTCTAAACAAACTCCTCTCCTTCTCCTTCTTCTTCTTCTTCCTCTTCCTCTTCCTCTCTTCTTCTTCTCATTGCTTGACGCTACTTAAGATAACATACTTCGACCTATCGCCGTTGTCATCTTTACCTCTCGAGTCGTAAAGTTAACTAATCTCTCTCGACGTACATAGACAGAAGTATATATATATATATATATATTTATGAGAAGTGAAGGTAGTTGTTGCTCATTTTCTTACTTCAAGGTCTTGCTTGGAGCTGTGGCTGTTGGGATGTTTGTATGGCTTTTAATCGTTGGCATGCCCGACAGCGGAGAACGGTCGATGGCGAAAACAACAAGCTGGCCGGCAGCTAGGTCTGAGTTTGAGGGAAGCCATATGAAGCAAGCCAAGGAGCTTAACTTCATGAGCAAAGTTAAAGTCCCTAAAGGACCCGACCCAATTCATAACAGGTGAATTTTTTCGAAGATCAACTTTAACATAGCAATGATATCGAGTTGTGTTCAAATTTCTTACTGGACTTTTGTGAGATCCCACGCCATTTTGAGAAGAGAATGAAACATTTTTTATGAGGGTGTGAAAATTTTTTCCTAGCATATATCTATTGATTTTAAGCGAGTTAATATTTGTTGGGTTTGGTTTGCAGGCGAATGGGAGTAAAAGGACGGCCACCCGCCTGACCTTAGGCTTAGGCTTAGGCTTCCTCCAGTTTGAGAGGAACTCATGCCTCTTGGTTCTTCTCAACGTTACCCTTCAAACAACATGCCTCTTATTTGTATTCTAATTTCAATAATCCAAAATAAAAAACATCTGGATTGTACATATCTCCCTCTCTCTATGTGTATATATATGGGCTTGGGCTATTTATTTGTATTCTAATTTTGGTATAGCTTTTAGAAAAGAGAAAAAGGAAAGGAAATAGTTGTTCAAATGAACCTAATTCTTTGAATAATTTGAATGTGTAGAATTGGTGGATAATTGTAACAAAAAATGAGTGATGTACTAGAACCTGGAATTTGACTGCACCCTGCCAGATGCAAAACCAGCCGTTGAAACACTTCGCTTCCTTCTGAAGTACACAACTGAACCGCTTATAAGCAGCAAGCCTAGCACAATGCCCTGTCCACAACAGTACACAAAATGAAATGAATCCAATCAAGATAAAAGTAGCATGCTCTATTAAACAACCAGTTGGAAAGCATCTATCTTTCTCTCCAAAGGATAATAGTTTTCACCTATTCGGCACTATTCGAATGTAACAGCCTAAGCCCACTGCTAGTAGTCCCTTTCGAGCTTCCCCTCAAGGTTTTAAAACGCGTCTGTTAGAGAGATGTTTTCACACCCTTATAAGGAATGCTTTGTTCCCTTCTTCAACCGACGTGGATCTCACAATCCACCCCATTGGGGGCCCAGCATCCTCGCTAGCACACCGCCGGTGTGCCTGGCTCTGATACCATTTATAACAGTCAAAGCTCACCGCTAACAGATATTATTTTCTTTGGGCTTTCCCTTCCGAGCTTCCCTTCAAGATTCTAAAACGCGAGGGAGAGGTTTCCACACTATCATGAGAAATGCTTCGTTCCCCTCTCCAACCGATGTGGGATCTCCCATTAAATGTTTTGAAAAATAGAAGACGGTATTTAAAGCACAGTTTCAAAGTAGCTCAAATATTTATCTATATTATCTGTTCGGTGATGAACAATGGAATTATGACTTAATTAACAATATTTTGATTTTAATACGAAGAGGAACAATTATTCTTCCATCTAACTTTACAAAATACAAGATGTGAAGAAGAAAAAAGATAGATTGACAACAAAGTAGCACAAAGAATGAACCTCCATAGTACTGCAAATCTGACTAGATATGATGTTAGCTATCATCTTAACAACAGAACCGCTGAAGAAAATCCATAGATTACACTGATTAGCCATCGAATTTTGGTTCTGTAAAAGATGAACAGGTCTCATGAGGTGCCTTAACTGTCTACCTCCCATTGATGCATTCTCTACTTAAGAAGTAAATAGGATCTTGTGGCAAGTAAAAGTTACAGACAACAATTAAAATAAATAAGAACAGCAGTAACCATAGTAGCATGACTGCATAGCTATTTAGTTGATGAATACTTTCGGATTCAAAATCAATTATACAGAGTAAAGCAAATTTGAGAGAAGATAATAAGGCATGCAACGGCCATTAAACCATTAATTGCAATAAACTAAACCCTTTGAAATAGAGCAGCTAAGATAAATGGCATACCTCAAACCCAAGTACAGACAACTTTTCATCATTAACTGATGGAATACAGCTTCTGTAAATGATGTAATCCTGGGAACCAACTGTTCCAGAGATAGAACCATCCCGTTGATGTCTGTGTGCAACTGATGAAGCATGATCGCTTGCATCACTCTGCAAATGGTTCACAAGCTTGTGCTCATAAGACATTTCAAGTGTTGAGCGACCATCATGAGATTTTTTCTCATTGGAAACTTTTGATGTGTCTTTGACTTCCACACATTTCAGGGGAATACGATACCCAGTCTCACTGCAGCCATAATTTTCATCCTTCTATGTGACCAAAAAGAAGAAGATAATGAAAAATTACTTCTACATTAAATTTTATACAAACAAGCAAAGCAAAAGCTACCATTAAACAGGAAACATTGGATTTAAAGATGGAAAATATACAACGGACTACCGTTCCCAATCCTAACACATTAAGAACTGAAAGCCTAGCACTATCCAAATATTAACTACAGAGTCAACCTTGTCTGTCCCTGTGGCTATAAAATCATAGTATCTGTAACCACCCAAACACACCGCTCGCTAATATTGTCTTCTTTGGACTTACTCTCAAGGTTTTAAAACGCGTCTACTAGGGAGATGTTTCCACACCCTTCGTTCCTCTTCCATTGGATGTAAGATCTCACAATTCACCCCCCTTGGAGGCCCATCGTCCCTGTTGGCACACCGCCCGGTATCTAGCTCAATACCATTTGTAAAATTTCAAGTCTACAGCTAGCAAATGTTGTCTTCTTTGGGCTTCCCTCAAGGTTTTAAAACGTATCTACTAGAGAGAGATTTCTACACCCTTATAAAGAATTCTTTGTTTCCCTCTTCAACCGACGTGGGATCTCACAGTATCCATGTTCAAATCCAACTAACCAAAAAGAGAATGATTTTCCAAAAAGGATATGGGAAAATAGGTTAGAGGATCCAAAGTCATGGAACTTTGGTGTCGATCTTGTCTTTTTCTGTTTTGTGAACTTGGTAAGTGCATTTGTTACAAATTAAACAATGTATACCCAGCGTGAACAAATTTCCAAAGAAAGCACAACATAAAATTTTGGCCAAAGAGAACGAGAACGCAAGGGGCCTATCATTATCAAATTCTAATGCATTGAAAACTGGAAGTTCATTGCTGCATGATGAAAAATCTGACATGCATTTGCAATAATCTCGTTGCTACTCGCTATAACAAAAATGATATTGAAAAGCTTCACTGTTTCATCACAACCAATAATCTAGAACTCCAACAAGCTAGATCATAATTTCTAGATAATTCAACCCAAAAAAACAACGCATGCCAACTGAACGGGAACGAATAAGAACACCAGTATTTAGTTTATCTCGATTTAAAGACCTAACGAACAGATACCTTTTCGGAGAGGAGGCACGCAACACAGGGCCCGGAACGAGAGCAATCAAAGGTAACGTTACTTCCATGAGGAGACTCTTTGAAACTCAACAGAGCTCTGCGCCCAAACCCTATCTCAGTTTCTTCGTTTCTCCCGATTCTGCCTCTGACATTAAGAACGAACGCAACAATTCGCCATGGAATTCCAATAGATCAGATCAATAAATAACACAATGATCAATAAGAACACATAACGTAGAAAATTAGAGCTTACAAATTCTGTTGAGCGTCAAGTGAAGCAGAGAAACAGAAGAGAAGGAGAAGAAAATGATGCAACGAAAAATTCCAACACATTATTCACCTCTGAGCGAACCTCTCTTACCAAAATCTGCAAATTAGATATCGAATTAAATGTGTATGCATACTCGATATTTTATTGAAGTTTCGGAAAGTTGTTAACCGATCAAGCCAAACCGCCCCTAAAGTTTCTAATCCAACGGCTGAGATTTAAACTTAACGCAGTGCTAGAGGCTGTGGGGCCGTCAAAATCCCGGCAAATTATCCTCAGTCCTCGGACCTTTTATTGAAGTAATTATCTTTTTACTCGGTTTCGATGGAAGCGGGAATTCTCTTCCCCGCCACTCTAATTCCATGGAGTCCCAATTTCAACTGCACTCTCTGCACTGTTCGTCGCTCTTTCCCGCGCATCGTAAGGGCTTCTTCTTCTTCTTCCTCGCTCTTGCGCACGTACGTCGGTGGAGTTTCTCTCTCAGTCGTTCTCTTTAATAATCGCGCCGTTTCTGGATTGCTCCGTCCCCGATGCCAGCAGGTTCATCGGTAAATTTTAAAATAATGTATGGAATGTTGTTTTTGTATTGCTTATTCTGGAATGTTGTAAATACATCACTACAATTAGTAGTAAATTAAGAGAAGAAATCATCCATTTGCGGAGGCGAGGATGGAAATTCTTTCTTCGATAACTATGTTTTCATATTTTGGCGGTGTGATTTTGCGACTAACAATAAAACCATTATCAATTTCGGCGGTTCGCAGTCAAGAGCTATCAGATTTTCATACTCAACCTCCCCCACTTTTGTTGAACGTGATTAGATGTTGTATTGATAACAATAAAACTAGTAACATCTGAGTTGTTGTGGTAATACACTGTATGGAACTTTCGCGATGATGTTTTAAAACTGTGAATGGGATGTATCTGACAAATTACTTTTGGTATTCAATTCTAAAGACAATTCTTAGAGGAGGAAGGAAAAATTCTGGACTAAGTGGTTAATGGTTACTTTTTGCTGCTTACTCTTAGGGTATGGAAGTATCTGTCAGAGGTGGCATGCTGCAGGTTTTTGATTGTTGGTTATGATGAGATGTGTATATTTCAAGTTGGTTTTGCTGCTGAATCAGCTGCGGGTGATGGTGAGGCCGAACATGTGGAAGCTGGTAAATTGATGCAGGGATTGCTCTATCAAGGAATTCTCAAATCTCAAGCTCGTGAGTAGTAAATGATCTGTGTACAGAGATCAGCACACAATGTACTACTTGATTGTTGTGCAATTGTAAACATCTGCAACTATTCGTTTTAAGAGACTATCTTTCCTATTATTGTAGAGAGCTAGTTGGCTAATCTCTCTTTTATACAGGGAAGTCGGAGCTGCCATTTCTTACTTCAAATACTCAGGTACATTGCTTAATACTATTCAGGTTGTTGTTAGATTTGTTCCTTTTTCATTTTTCTTTTATTCTTTTGGTATATATATAAGGCAGATAGTTTTCTACAGTGGCTTCATTCTTGGGTATTTGTCACTCTTTATAAGTGGTAGACGTATAAACTACCGAGCTCATTTTTGTGTCTCAATGTTTAACTTATCATGGTTGGCGTGCAAATGAAGCTCGAGTTTGAAGCATCATTTGGTGCACTTGATGAATTATTTGGTTGTTAGCATGTGTAATTAGCCCTCACATTCTCTTTCAGAAACTTGGGAGTTTTCTCCCTGTCTGCTGGCTTAAAAGAGTCTCTCCTTGAATAGAGTATCTACTTTTTCTCTGAAGCTAGAGTCTGCTATTCTACCTATCTGCTTGCTTAAAGCCCCGTTCGAATGGATTAGAACTGTAGCTCAACCTTTTGGTTTTCTTAAAGCCCCTCTTTTGAATGAATAGAACTGTAGTTCTACCTTTCTGTAGTTGCTTCGATTGCACATATTGTCTGTATACTGATGGTGACGACCTTTTCCTCTTTCTTTCTATGGCATAATTACTCTTTCCAGCTTCAAATTTGAAATGTTCACTGTCATGGATTTCACTCGTTGAGAGAAGCTGGATGCTACTCTATTGAAATATTTGAATAATTTTGAACCGTGGTAAAATTGAGCTTAAAGTGAACGGAACTGTTGATGGACAAACATAACTTGGTTATTTGATTGTTCATTTTATCTATTTCCAATATTTCCATTGGCGAAAAGAGATAGTATTGAAGCCCCTGTAAAAGCCAGACGAAGCAACTCAACTAAGTAGTTGATTGCTATGTATGTTCCATATGTGCAAAAGCTTCTCCTTTTCTTTCAACCATCGACTCTAGATGTATTCACTGATTGAAGGTAATGTCTGGTTCGTTCACTTTTATGCATTTTCTGTCTGTGGTAATGCTGAGTGCATTCTTACATGTGTGTCCAACCGACATAGCAGACAGCAGATGATTTATTCAAATTTGAAGTATGAATCAGAAAGAATTTCATTCCAGCATCTGAAAGTGTAAGTTAAAAACATGTGACTAAATCATAGCATGTCGATGGAGTAAAAAAATAATCAGACAAACATTCTATTTGTAGAAAAAAAAAATCTGTTGCTTGCTGTATGATTACTGTGTACAGGTCACTAAGCTGCAGGTTGCCAAGAGTTGTTAACCAGAAGCTTTTTCCCATGGTAGGAACCCTGTCAAAGGATCTGACAACGAACTCTGTATAAAATCTCTCAGTCCAGTGTCCCAAACTTCACAGAACTGTAGCCTCCAATTGGGTGGTTCGATTGCCTCTGTCCCAAGCCCAGGTGCTCTATCCTTCGACCCTTCATTCTGTGCCTCTTGCCAATCTACAACATAGGTAGCTACTCTTCTGTAAAATTTAGCTCGAAAAGTTTCCCACACTTGGTATTTGTAATGGTTTATGACAGCATTGCTTTTAGGTACATCAAAAAACCCAAATCCTTGTTTCAACTGAAAGTGATGAACAACATTGAGAAGTGTTATATCAAGCAAGTCTGGCCGGACAAACGATTTGTGTCTCTCAGGGTTCTGGAGACGACAAGTGTACCCCATTGTCACTCCCTGCGGTGGATGTGATGTTAAACCCGATGGTCCAAAACTATGACATGCCGTTCTAATCTCTGCAATGGCGGTTGAATTGGAAGTTGAAGCAGATGAGTCGGCAATGAGAGAACGAAGGGCATTGCGGCCGGCAGTATGGTATTCTTGCAGATGGCGATACTTTGAAGGGAAGTAGAAAAACTCATCAACATCAAAGAAACCAACCCACTTACATTCATCTCTAGCTCTCAAAGCACAGTGTGAGAAACCTGCTTCTTGGGTTTTAAGCCATGGCCAGGTCAGCCTACTGATATTGTAGTCTTCCAGGTTGAGCTCTCTAATGACTTCTTCAATGCCATCATCACTATTATTGTCGTAGATGAACCAGCGGCCCACTCCAAGCCAGGCATGGTACATAATCCACTCACGAAGTGCTGCCGCTTGGTTCCACACCATTGTGCACACACAAAGCTCATGTTTTTCCTGATTTCTTTGCAGGTCATTCAGCTTGGAGTTGAAGAGTCTGACCACTGAGGGGAGAGTCACTTGAAGATGGGCTTTAGTATTGACACTGCCACGACTCACTGTAACTCGAATTCCCTTTTCCTTGTCCAAAGTGCTCAGCGCACCAGCCGGCAAGGAGCACCTGATAATTTCTTGAGCTGCAGTAACTGCTTTTGTGGTAAGCACATATTCTCCGTTATTGTTTGAATTTCCCAGTCTAAAGTGGCAGCTGAATTCAGTCGGATTTGATTCCTTGTGTGGTCGGAGATTTAGTCCCTTGGCAAACACCACAACCGTATCACCGTCAATAGCTGCCTCATAAACCACCCTCTCCCACGAGGCCACTGGCTGCCTATTTCTTACCAACCAATGGTCATCAGCTCCCACGCCGCGCTTCCTCAAGTCCACGGCGGAGGCCGAATAATTCAGCGGTGGTAGTGGACATCTGGCAATCGATCGGAATTCATCGTACTTGTCCGTGGACAGAACTGACTGTTTGAGAGTCTCTTGATTCAAACCTCTAGCGACTGATTTGAAGTATAAACAGTCCAATTTCTCATCTCGGTTGAATTTTCCGGCGACCATCAAAAGCAAATGGTCAGGAAACAAGACTCGGCTTTCAACTCTCAAAGGCGAATACTTACTGCTCAAAGAACTGTCAAGGGTAGACTTGCTAGCGGAAGTAGACAAACGGGAGAGAGTCGTGGAAGAGGCATCGAGAACTGGCCGGAACGACGCCGCCGCAATCGAAAACCACCTAGTCGAAGAGAGGAACAAGAGAAAAGCAAAGAAGAAAAGGCAAAGAAACAGAGATCTCCGAGTAAAGAACTGAACTTGCGAGGTCGACCTGGCAAACCGCTTCCTCTTCCGCCGCTGTTGTTCCCAATCCATTAACCCAAAATTCACACAGAACCCAAATCAGAAGAAACCTCAACCGCAGCACAGATCCAGTCAGATGAAAGCAGGAGCAAGTTCGTCGAGTTGGGGTTTCCCAATAACCTCGTCAGTCTGCCGGAGACGACAAGAAAGAAACTCTCAAGCCTAAACCTGTAATTAATGTGGAAGCAGAGTTTATTAGTTGAAATCAGAAAAGATTCGGCTGTGATGATAATGACGAAGCTGCTGATTGATTGCTTTCCGCTAATAAGTGGAGTTTTATTAGCAAAGAGGAAGCGTAAACTTAACTCCTCTTGGGCTCTCGTCCTGCTCCTGCTCTGCAAGGCCAGACTACACCATCGACATCTTTTGAAGCTTGAAAAATACTTGTTTTTGCTCTTTTAATTGGCCCATACCGTATCAAATACTCACCTTTATGCCTTTTTTTCCTCTCTTCTAAACTCCAAGGCCGTGTTTTTTGTTCAGAAGAGTAAATGATTAGCTGGAACAATAGACTTTTGCAGCAGTTCATTTCTTTATTAGGCTTAACTCGTAATTAAACCCTTCAACTAAATTCTCATACTTTACATACACAAATGCTGAGGCTTTTATTTCGTAGACCCATTCCTAGGAACCTTCGACAGACATAAACAAACAGATGCTCTGCTTGCTTCGATCTTCCCAAACGTTAAACCAGATGAATATAAAAATGACTGTTGTTGGAATCTTAATTCAATGTTATTATTGATTGAAAAACCTCCGCCAAATTTTCGGCATTTAATGGGACGGGAAATGCACGTGGAAGGACGCGAGAAGATGGCTGCCACTCGCTGACTCACCGCTTTCATTTGTTTTTCAATCATTTGTGAATTCCATTCCAACACTTAATATTCACATGCCGTCCATTTACTATGAAACTAAATAAGTCCTGAATTTCCTTCAATTATTGTTGTTTTTTTGTTTTTATATATAATATGCCCATATGTCCTTTTAGGAATTTTGTAATCAAGTTAAATAATACCCTTTAATTCTCGTATGCCCGAGAAATGTTATTTAATTCTCGTTCAATTTTTAATTTTATTTTAGTATTAGCGAGATGTATTGTTTTAATGAATTTCGATTTCATATTCGTCAATTCATTTATAATAAAATAGACCATGATTGAAATATATGTGATTAAAACGTTAGGTAGAACAAGTCAGACGAAGGTTGATGTATTAGGCACGAAATTAATTCAAATTCTATCCAATTGTCTACTAAACATCGTTGTCTATAAACATGTTTTGTTTTAATTAGATTAGTGAATTAATTAGGCCATCCCATCGCTAATTAAACCAAAGTCATCACTAAAAAGAGTCTAAATAATTGAGCTTTCATTATAAATACACATTTAATCCCTTGGCTTTCTTTGCCTCCATAATTATAATCTTAACTTTACAATTTCATAGCCGTTTTGAACAAATTGCATCAAAATGTGAACTTCAATCTGGCAATCAAAAGAGGGAAATAAAATCAAATCAGGAAAAATTTCCCAAATCTGTATGGAACAAAGAAAATGAATTAAAGGAGAGAGAGAGAGAGAGGATGAGAGAAGATTTTCCTGGAAAGTGAATTAGAAATTTTCCGGGAAAGTTTCAAAATGGTTTCAATGTAAAAGCTTACTATTTATTATTTGAATAATTAAATGGATATCAATTATCATAGGCTTAGTTAGGCTAATCAACTTGTGGCCTTTATTAACATAATTAAATTGGGTTTATTTATTTATTTATAAAATGATATTATGGGCAAATGTGGACAAATTAAACAGCTCAGATTTTGTATTAATACCCCTTTACTTTATATTCTGTATTTATACCCTTTATATTCCAAGTTGGAATTTTCAAACAAACAAAAGCTCATCATTATACCACGTGGCATTGGTTTTATTGGCTCACACTTTTCAGGGATAAGATTGGTCAAATAAAATACGCGTTAAAGAGACTAATATGTCCCTATTCAAATATAAACAATTAGTTTAGGGAAATATTTTAATTAATGACATTTTGATTTAAACTAAGAGGTTTAGGGAATGAGAAATTATGTACCCAAACGAACGCTTAAATTACACGTGCAGGGGCAAAATGGGAAAATGAAAAAAAAAGTTGTACTGTCCTCCAATCACGTTTGACACGATCAATTTAAATTACTTAACCCGAACCATAAGGATTATATTTTTTTTTTCTTTTCGATTTGAATTAGATTAGGTTTTTGGAAAATAAAAAATTTAAATAAGTTTGCGCGTTGATATTTTTTGGTTAGGTGACTCGACCAAACGGAATTAGTGTTACAATCCAACCCAACCCTACTATACTTTTAAAAAATATTAAAAATATTTAACGTTATAATTTATGTTAATGACTCTTTTGTTCTTCAGACGTAGCATATATTATAAATAAGTATTTTTTAAAAATAATTATAAAAAATAAGAAACTCGACAGCCCAACCCAGCCCAAATTCGCTTAAAATATTTTTCAATCAAACCCAACCCAACTGATGTTTGGGCTGAATTTGAGTATCAGAGGCCCACTAGAATACTGTTTGGGTTGGGCTTTAGGGCCCATCTCTTAAGTTAGGAATATTTGGAAACGGGTTGAACGTAATAATATCTAAAATACCCCATTTATAAAATCAGTATTTATTTTATTTAACAATTGAAAGAAAAAAAAAAAGTAACATTTGTTGGGGCATTAAGGTGAAAAATATCAATGAAATTGGAAAATAAATAATAAAAATGAAGTTAAATCTCTACCCATATATTTCCAGCCCATCAATTGGACGGCGAATCAGATATCCTTAGATCCGTAACGTACCAAATATTTATTAACTAAAACCAATCGAGATATAAGAACGACAAAATTCATTTTAAGGAAGATCTATTAGTCTCGAATTATGGAAGTCATTAAATGCATAACGTTAAATTATAATAATTACAAAGTTTGTGACGTAATTTAATGAAATTGAAAACTTTATAATAAAAAATATTATTTTGTAACTTCATGAATGAAATAAAGTCTATATGATACAATATCTTAATAATTATTGACTTATATTAAAATATTAATCTTGCGAAAAGAGAGTATACCAAATCAACGGCGAATAAAATAAAATTGAATATGAAGAATAAAATTAACGGAAACCGATGTTGACGTATAGGGCTGTTTTTGCAAGCCTATCAGGAGTTGCCAATTGGAGCGCTTTAGCCCAGCATTGGTGTTTTAATTGGGCCGGTTGGTGAGGCCCATCAGCCCAATTTGGCAACCTTCCGAAAATTCCGTACGTGAGGATTTTGCCTCGTTCATTCCCATGCTAAGCCATCCAATCGCAGGGAGAGGACAATTTAGAGCCACATTTTCTACGTAACTGAATAAATTATAAATAAAATAAATAAAAAAAGGCAGAATTATTTGGAAAAAAAAAATGTTGCTAAAAAAGGATTGGAGGTAATTTTATATTATAAAGGAATTAAAATAAAAAATAATGGGTAAACCTAATTGGATGGGTGAGTGACTGTTACTTTTACATTTCACCACACACTTCCAAAATCGTAAAACCTCAACCGTTGATTGAAATCTGAAGGGAAGAGCCCACGGTTTTGCCCTAACTCGAGTTAACCCTAATTTCACATAAAAGAAATTGATTTTTCCGAAATTGAATCATGCGGGACAGAATTGCCCTTGTGTGGTGATTAGAATAACGAAAATGCCATTGAGTTTAATTTAAAACTGGGTAATCCACAATAGTGCCCTAATTTGGGATGGGTGAGGGAGGGGGAGAGGTAATCAACGGGCTGTAGCCGGTAAACCCATAGAGTGTGACCGGTTAAATGGATTATAGTGCCCCATTAACCCAAGTTTTGTCTGTGTTGGGTTGAGGAAGTGTAAACTTGTACATCCATCAAGCTTTCTCGTCGTATATATTATCAAATTCTTAAAGGCTCTCTCTTTGTGTTATTTAATTTTGAAGTTTCAATTTGGTTCAGAACCATTTTCTCGTCTGTGGGGAGTTCGGTTTCAAGAGAGGGAAAAAGGGGAAGAAAAACCTAAAAGAGAAGAGGAAGAAGAAGAAGAAGAACATTTGAAGAACTTCAATTTTGGTTTTGATTTGCGTATTCTTTCTGTCAAAGGTTGTGAGAGAACAGAATCACAGATTCCTTTTATACTTTCCTCTCTTCTTCATCTTCATTTTTATCCCTTTCTCTTCTTCTTCTCCCACTTGTTCATGCTTCACACTTTCTGCTAATTCTGCGACTTCACGATCTTTCCTTAACTCGTACCCTTTAATGTAATTTCTGTTTCTTCTTTAATGTTCTTACTTTTTCTTTCTTAATCATCTCGTCTTTTGCTTTATCCGTCAGTAACAATGTTTTCTTTGTGTGTTGTGTTTGTGTTTTCAGGATTCTGGTTATGGGGAGGTGATCTGAACAGAGGTTTGGATGGAAATTTTTGCTCTTGGTTTTTCTCTCTTTGATGTTTTACTATTTTTACGTATTTAGATCTGTCTTTCTCTTGTTGAATGAGCGACTTCTTGTGTAGGAATTTTTATTCTAATCTGAGTTCGAAGCATGGTTGTTTGTTGAAGACGGAGGACTTTTTGTCGGAGATGAAGAGGTCGAGAGACGACGTTTATATGGGCTCGCAACTCAAGCGTCCTGTGATTTCCACTCGTGCAGAAGCGTAAACCTCATCATCCTCCTGTATTTTTTTTTTTTTAATTATTATTTTCGTTCAATTCTAGTTACTGAAGTTTAATGCTATCTCCTCGTTCTTAATTACTGAAATTTCTTTTTTGAACTTGGAGATCGAACTTCTGAATCACCTTGTCGTCCGCGAAGAAAATTTCTCGATTTCTTTTGTTAATCCATTTTCAAAATCCTAATGAGTATCTAGGGTTTTCGAGGAGTACCAAGAAAAACTTCTTTTTTGTTCAACTCGCCATGAAAAAGATATCTCCTCTATTCGTATTTTCTTCTTTGTAGTCAATTGTTAAGCTCGATGCTTTTCATGAATAAAATGGGAGTGTCTTGAATAGAATCGAAGGTCCACATATTCATAAGTACGCTCAAATTTTTGTATGATGCACTGATAATTGGTGTTCTACAGTTTCTGATTTTGAGTCCCTTCATTGTAAAAGTGTACTTATTTGTGTTATCTGTGTTGCGAAATGAAGATCTACACAACCCCAAATGGCGGGAGGAGGAAGTGCCCAGAAATTGACCACTAATGACGCCCTAGTATATCTGAAGAGAGTGAAGGACATATTTCAAGACAAGAGGGAAAAGTATGAAGACTTCCTTGAAGTTATGAAAGATTTCAAGGCCCAAAGGTTTTTCATAGTCTATGCTTCATTTAACCCTTCCCCCCTTTTGGTTTCTGACTTCTTTCCAAGGAGCACAGTTTTCTCCTTGGGGGAAGGGTATTTGTTGATGGGAGCTATTTGTTGACACGTTTTTTTTATTTGATTGTAGAATTGATACTGCGGGAGTCATTGGAAGAGTAAAGGATTTGTTTAAAGGCCATCGAGATCTCATTTTGGGCTTCAATACCTTCTTGCCCAAAGGATATGAGATCACTCTTCCACTGGAGGATGATCAACCTCCACAAAAGAAACCCGTTGAGTTTGAAGAAGCTATTAATTTTGTGAACAAGATAAAGGTTGATCTTTCTTCACAATTATGTATTAAATTAGCTTTTGTGAATTACACTAATTAGTTCTTCATTTGAATGCATGCAGACAAGATTTCAAGGTGATGATCATGTTTATAAATCATTTTTAGACATTCTAAATATGTACAGAAAGGAAAACAAGTCCATCACTGAGGTCTACCAGGAGGTTTGTGTGTTGCTTTTGTCATTGGCTGTGGGAATGTTGTCTGTTTTGTACGTTTGGTTCTGTCATTGTTCTCGGGTACTTATTTTGTTAATCAAAATAGTGGTTTAGTTTTTAATGGGTTTTGCTCCTGACTTTTCACAGGTTGCTGCACTTTTCCAAGATCACCCAGACTTGCTTGTTGAGTTTACTCATTTTCTTCCAGATACTTCAGCCACTGGAGCTGGTCACTATGGCTCTGGTAGGAGTTTAATGCTCCGCGATAGGCATACTACCATGCCCATCATGCGGCAAATGCAAGTTGACCGGGTTCGAAACTTTTCCTTTTTTATATTATTTAGACATGTTCTCTAAATTTAATTCCTGTCAACTGTTGTAGTTATGGTAAGTTTGCATGTTATAACTCCAGAAAGAAAGAACTATTCTGTCCACTGCCGAACGTGACCTTAGCGTTGACCGTCCAGAACCAGACCATGATAGGTCCCTAATGAAGCTGGACAAAGATCAGAGGAGGCGGGGTGAGAAGGAAAAGGAAAGAAGAGAAGATAGAGATAGGAGAGAACATGATCGGGATCGGGTCGACAGAGATTATGAGCATGATGGAAGAAGGGACTTTAACATGCATCGGTTTCCCCCCAAGAGGAAATCTGCTCGAAGGATTGATGACTCATCTACTGAGCAAATGCACCCAGGTGGAGAAGGTGATGAAAATTTTGGCGTACATTTATCTTTTCTTATGATGATAAAAATTCTGCAAATATTGATTATTGTAATTATGTTGGTTATTTTAAACATAACGTCACTAACTATTGAAGTTTTATTCTCAATAAAATCTCGTTAGTTATTTTTAGTCAATACTTCAGTTTGTTGAGGACATTTTGTCTTAATAATCTATTGGCAATACCATTTTCCTCTGTTCCCTTCCATTTCGTTGCCTTTCATTCCACCTCTTCTCGTGTTTGTTTATTAATTTATTCTGCTTTGGTAGGTATATACAGCCATGAGTTTGCTTTCTGTGAAAGAGTGAAGGAGAAGTTACGAAATGCTGACGATTACCAGGAATTCTTGAAATGTCTCCATATCTATAGCAAGGAGATAATTACCAGAGCAGAACTTCAATCTTTGGTATGGATACTTTTATATTTGACAGAAATTTCTCCATGCAATGTCATAAAGTTTTTGCAATTGCTGATAATCACGTAAATGGTATAAAATTATTTGCCGAATAATAAATAATTGCTTGGCCGTACACTATGTAGAAGCAACAGATTAAGTGAGACTATATCTCCTCCCAATCTCAACATCTGGATCGTTTCTGAAAGAACTCAATATTCTCTCTCCTCTTATTATTGAGATTTTGATGCGCTCATTCAGATAGCCTTAGGCTGCTTCCTTAAACTGCAACTTTACAAGAGTTTTAGTGTTTTGCATTTACCTTGACATTGTTATGCAAGACCCATGCTTTCCCGAAGTCATGAGGCATGCAAACATCATGAGGAGCCAAACTTGCTGTGGGAGAATATGTGCTGCTTCCCTTATTTTGTAGTACAGAACGGACCAAGTTTGATTAAGGAAAAATTAAGTAATATTCTTTGGATCACGTTATTCTGATGATTCCCTTGTGAGTTGATAATGAAGGAAAAAAACATCACCTTCTTTGGAGTCTTGGGTTTCTGTAATGCTGTGGCAAGCTTAGCTATTACTGACCTTCTACGTCAGCAATTGTAGGTAAAGACATTTCAGGGTGGTCGGGTGAAGTAATCTGTATCACTTAAGGATTTATAACCTTCGTTCTTTAGTAGTAGTCAGAAAAAAATTAAAGAGAAGATTGAACAAGTCCCTAAATGTATCTTCAACTGGTCAATTGTGAACTAAAGTATTTTCCTAATGAGTTTTCCTGGCATTTTCCACCTTGAACCTTGGAAACTTTTATATTGCTGCTTGGTATTCAAGTGCTCAGAGGTCTATTTGGTTTTACCAGGTTGATCAACTTTTAAATTTTATAAATGTAGAAGGAAAAGAACTGCTATAAATGTGGTCGAGAGGTTCAATATATCTGGAAAGAGAAAATTTGACAAAGACTGTAGCTTCTCAGCCCAATATGGGTTGTTGTAACATTTGCAAAAGCTTGTAAAAAAGATTCCCTAACCATGCATTGTCCCAATAACTGTTTTACTTAAGCATACCAAAGGCCTTAACTTTGCATCACATTTTCTTTCTTTCACTTGTCAGGTGGGTGATTTACTTGGAAGATATTCTGATCTTATGGATGGTTTCAATGAATTTTTGGCACGCTGCGAGAGGAATGGTAACTGTTTAGAGTTGGTTCATGCTTATTTGGTTTTTGTACTTTTTGGCATTAAATCTGATCAAATATTGTTTGGCAGATGGATTTCTTGCTGGTGTCATGAGTAGAAGTATGTATACTTTTTTTTTCCTTTGCGTAATTTTATATTTTGAAGGCTGGATCTTTCATAGTTCTTATTGATTGTGATTGTAAATTTGTAGAGTATTCAGCACGCTCTACAAACTGATGATTAATTTATAAGTTGAGTATCTTAAAGTGACATATGTACTTCAGTATTTTGTATTTATTTTATTTTTTTAAATTCATCAGAATCATTATGGAATGAAGGAAATTTGCCTAGAACAATGCAAATGGAGGAAAGAGACAGAGATAGAGATCGTGACCGTGAGAAAGAGGATATTTCCAAAGATAGAGATCGTGAAAATCGGGAAAGAGAGAGACTTGAAAAGAATGCTGCATTTGGAAGTAAAGATATTGTAGGTCACAGGATGTCTGTGTTTTCTAGCAAAGACAAGTATTTGGGGAAGCCAATAAATGAACTTGATCTATCAAACTGCGAACGCTGCACTCCCAGTTACCGGCTTCTGCCAAAAAATGTATTCACTACTCTTAAGGAATTAATAAGCATTTTTCTAGGATATTGTTTACTTAAAAAAAAATGGACGTTTACTGTTTTTCTTTCTCTGTCAGTATCCAATACCTTCGGCCAGCCAAAGAACTGATCTTGGTGATCAAGTGTTGAATGATTACTGGGTATCTGTTACTTCAGGAAGCGAGGATTACTCTTTTAAACATATGCGCAAAAACCAGTATGAAGAGAGTCTTTTCCGATGTGAAGATGACAGGTTAGAGATCACCATCACCTGAAATGAAAACCGTGTTTTTTCATGTGTTATTCAATTTAAGGATGTGATAATCCAATCCAGTCAATTTTTTTCAGCCCCTTGGTATCTAATGTTTTCAACTCTAATATTAAGTGTCATCTCTAGAAGTACCCATGTATGGCCGAAAATGTCACTGCAATTTACTTTTGCACTGATTTATTACTCTGTTATACATGGAATGACTTATATTATTGTGCTTTGTACTGATGCTGGCAGGTTTGAACTTGACATGTTGCTGGAGTCCGTAAATGTGACCACGAAGCGTGTTGAAGAACTACTAGAAAAGATCAACAACAATGTGATCAAAGCAGACTGTCCAATCACAGTTGAGGATCACCTCACTGGTCAGTGGTCACCATCTGCTTAGTTTTTATTTAACTTTACCTCTTCAAGGTTCTTTATCTCATTTTTTCTCTCTGGTCTTTTTCCTTCTGGGTTTACACTCCTGTCCTTCTTGTAGCTTTAAATCTGAGGTGCATTGAACGATTATATGGTGACCATGGGCTTGATGTTATGGATGTGTTGAGGAAGAATGCTCCTCTTGCTCTGCCAGTTATTTTGACTCGCTTGAAGCAGAAACAGGAAGAATGGGCACGGTGTCGCTATGACTTCAATAAAGTTTGGGCTGAAATATACGCTAAGAACTATCACAAGTCACTTGATCATCGTAGCTTCTACTTCAAGCAGCAAGACACAAAAAGCTTGAGCACTAAAGGTGACTTAAAATATTGATATTTGTATTTTTTTTTTTTTTTTCTTTCTTTCTTTCTTTCTTTCTGCTGCTCGTTAAGTTCTCAAATGCTGCACTTAGTTTTGGGATTATAAGAATATAAAACATAAATGTGCTATTATATTACCTTTTATATTTTAATAAATGACCCTGAAATATTCCACATAGTCTTGGGTTTGTCTGAACAGTTTACCTTGCGTTTTGCTTTCTCTATCCTCTTATGCAATGGTCCACCGTATGGCATATTTATCTCGTTTTGTATTAGTAAAAACTCGATTTACCTCATTTGGAAGTCAAAAGTCAAGCCAAGTAGATAGCATTCATTTAAAAACTCAATGTATTGATTGTTATCTGATTGTAGTAGCACTTCGGAGTTGTCAAGTTTTTATGATTCTCTCCGTTGGTAATTGGTTTTTCTTTTTACAGCCTTGTTGGCAGAGATCAAAGAGATCAGTGAGAAGAAGCGGAAGGAAGATGATGTGTTGCTTGCTATTGCTGCTGGAAATAGACGACCTATTATTCCTAATTTGGAATTTGAATATCCTGATCCAGAGCTTCACGAAGATCTGTATCAGCTAATCAAATATTCCTGTGGAGAAGTTTGTTCTACCGAACAATTAGATAAGGTTATGAAGGTATGGACAACCTTCTTGGAGCCCATGCTTGGTGTTCCTTCTCGACCTCATGGTGCTGAGGACACTGAAGATGTTATTAAGGCAAAAACTCATCCTACCAAGAATGCTGCTTCCGCTGTGGTAGAGAGTGATGGCAGTCCTGGTGGGGGTGACATTACGATGCAACCAAAGCTTTTGAATTCTTCTAGAAATGGAGACGAAAGTATCCCACCTGAACAATCAAGTTCTTGCAGGACTTGGCCCTTGAACGGGGACAATGGGGTCAAAGAAGACAGTTTCCATGATGCAGATCGTGTTGTACGGAAGGGAGATACAGGCAGTGTTTCCCAACATTCTAAAATTCAGGATAATGCACCTGTGACTGATGAATTGTCTGGAGTAAGTAAACAAGACAATTCCATCGAATGCTTTGTCAATTCAAATGTATCCCTTGCAACTGCAGCAGAGCAAAGTAATGGGAAAACTAACATAGAAAACACATCAGGTTGCTAAACTTGTTCTCAAAATTGTATTTTGTCCTTTCTCCTTTCTACTGTTTGATCTTTTTCCTTTCCTGCATGATTTTAGATTCTGACAGAAACTTTTGTTTGTTTTTGCAAGGATTGAGCACTACTCCTTCAATGCTTGTAAATAATGCCGTTGAGAGTGGAATTGAGTTACCTTCCTCAGAGGTATGGCCCCCCGTGGAGTCTCTCATTGGTGAAACTAAAAAAAATTGACCTCTATTAAACAATTTATGGTACTGGATAATGATCATGATATTAACTCTCAAGAGTCTGAACTCTTCTATCTCTGTAAACTGTGGAACTAGAAAAATCTTGTAAGATGGATCATGTATCTACGGGGACTCATGATTAGATTGTATCATGGATGATGAAGAAACCAGTTGCCTCCCTATTAGAGAGAGATTTTATTGGTCGTAGGCTAGGCTGCTTTCCATTATGTTTAAGACGATCATTATAGTTTTAGGCATGCAGATCAAAAGTAAACAACTTTCTGGTGGTTCAAATTCATGAGTGAGAGAAGTTGAGAAAGAAAAAGGCCGGTGGTCACAGGCTGAATTCATGCAAGAGAGAAAGATGAGAGAGAACTGGAGAGTTATAAAGTTAAATAAAGAAGTTGAGAAAATCTAAAAAGAAAAGAGTGGAGGTTGAAGAACTTTTGTGTCTTAGTCTTGGTTGAGCATTGTACTATTTCTGTTGATCTTAATTTTTACCATCTGCGTGGGTATGCAGATTGTAAAATTGGAGTATGCTGGGTCGGATTTTTGGCACCTTTTAAATATTTCCATTTTGTAATGGAAGCTGATATATAATTTCAAGAGATTCACAAATAGGCAATAAGAGTAAATGTTCCACTCATTTATAGTTTAGGGTTACTGCTTATTGCATGAATATAGGTTGGATTACTGGTTGTAGTTCGTGCATGATGAGTTTGAATTAAATAGTGATGATATTATCTTCTAATGATTGTGAACCTCTTACAGGGAGGTGGCCCTACAAGACAAATTCTAACTGCAAATGGCACCGTTGCAGAAGGCATAAAAAACCATAGATACGCTGAAGAGTCTGTCAGACACTTAAAAATAGAAAGGGAAGAGGGGGAATTATCTCCAAATGGAGATTTTGAAGAAGATAATTTTGCCAATTATGATGGAGATTTGAAAGCCGAGCCAAAAGCAAAGGAAGGTGTTGCAGCCAGGCAATATCCAAGCACCCGAGGTGAGGAAGAATTATGCTGCAGAGAGGCTGGTGGAGAAAATGATGCTGATGCTGATGATGAAGGGGAGGAAAGTGCTCAAAGGTCATCGGAGGATAGTGAAAATGCCTCTGAGAACGGTGATGTTTCTGCCAGTGATTCTGGTGATGGAGAAGATTGTTCTCGTGAAGATCATGATGGAGACCATGATGATAACAAGGCAGAGAGTGAAGGTGAGGCAGAAGGGATGGCCGATGCCCATGATGTAGAAGGAGATGGAACATCTATACCGTTCTCTGAACGGTTTCTATTGACTGTAAAGCCTCTTGCCAAGCATGTTCCTCCCATGTTGCACGAAGAAGGAAAGGAGTCTCACGTATTTTATGGAAATGACTCATTTTATGTGCTTTTTAGGCTCCATCAAGTAAGGTTCATTACTGGAGTATACTTTAAAAAAAAAATAGTTCCATAGAAGAGTCTTTTTCTCTATTTTTCTCTTATGAAACTAATATTTTTTTTTAACTTTCTCAGACACTGTATGGGAGAATACAGTCTGCGAAGATCAACTCTTCATCCTCAGAGAGGAAATGGAGAGCTTCAAATGACACCACTCCCGCGGATCTCTATGCCAGGTGTTGTACTTTCTAGGTTCTTCCCTTCCCCATTATAATTGTCAGTGGCAATAATAATTGTTACCCTTTTCTTGTTGGACAGGTTCATGAATGCACTTTATAGTCTACTTGACGGTTCCTCAGATAACACGAAGTTTGAGGATGATTGCCGTGCCACTATTGGAACCCAATCATATGTTCTATTCACATTGGACAAACTAATTTATAAAATTGTTAAACAGGTAAAATACTTGTAGCCTTATTTATCTCGATCTTATGTTATGTTTTCTTATTTACCTTTACCTTTTCTTGTTGGACATACTGACCAATCCATGTGTGCTATGTATCAGCTTCAAACTGTTTCCACAGATGAGATGGACAACAAGCTTCTCCAACTATATGCATACGAAAAATCAAGAAAAACGGGAAGATTTGTTGATGCAGTTTATCATGAAAATGCTCGTGTACTTCTTCATGATGAAAATATCTATCGCATAGAACGAGTAAGCTTTTTAGTGAGTCCGTTGTTATTTTCATGATTATGGTAGCCAAACTTGAATTTAGTTTTCAATTGTTCAAACTGATCGATAATCTATTTTGCAGTCATCCACACCAACGCATCTTTCTATTCAGCTTATGGACTATGGCTATGATAAGCCAGAAGTAACTGCTGTTTCCATGGACCCTATATTTTCATCTTATCTGCATAATGACTTCTTCTCGGTTCTCCCTGAGAAGAAGTTGAAGTCAGGGATATTCATGAAGAGGTATTAAGATTGTTGTAACATAGCAATCCAATTTTTTTTTGAGTTAGTTTGCATTGTCATCAAATCCCATGGTTCTTACAGAAACAAACGTAAATATGCCTGTGGCGATGAGAATTCTGCCGCATGCCATGCTTTGGAAGGGCTTAAAATTGCTAATGGTCTGGAGTGTAAAATTGCTTGCAGTTCGTCCAAGGTAATTGTTCTCTTGAAGCTTCCTTCACCTCATCATTCATGGAAGCAATATATTAGATAATAACTCTACTTCTATCTATATCCTGATGTCAACTGTTTTGGCGATCAATTTGCTGTGGGTATAGGTTTCATACGTCTTAGATACAGAGGACTTTTTATTTCGTAGAAATAGCAAAAGGAAACGTTTGCATGGAAATAGCTCATGCCACAACCAGTCAAGGTCTTCCAGTGGCGATTCAAGTAGGAGGGTACAGAAGTTCCACAAGCTACTTGAGAATTCATGATACACCAAACCATCAAATTGAGTTTGAAGTAAATATGGTAAGCTGAAGTCCTTAGAAACCTAGAATGTAGGATATTATGAATGTTTCACAAGCTACTTGAGAATTCATGAGTATATGCATACATGTAGACAATTATTTTTATATAAGATCCAATAATTTATGTTTATCATGTGTTCATTTGTACAGTAACTTTTAACGGAGGCACTGGAAAAACCTGAAAATGCAAAGTTTGGGGGATAGTGAAGCGGGTATTTTGCATTACCTTTTTTACTGTATTCTTATTTATATCTGAGCCTCACCATGAAAATAAGGCATTGGGAGGGGGGGATATAGGCTAGCTCGATGGTGTTATTACATTACTGAATTGGTGGCTCTCACTGAGCAGCCACGTTTCTGTAAATAGGGCAAATTCTTATGATGTAAAGACTACTTGGGTATACAATCTCTCTCTATTTTTCCTGCTCTTCCCAAATTGGAAACATCTCTGAAGTTGCAAACCCCCTTTAGCTCTTATGTTCTTCCACCACCTCTTAAAACCATTATTATTATTTCGTTTGCTGTACTCCCTTTCAATTTGAACCCATGTCTTCTGTATCTTCCTCAGGCACCTGTAGTTTTAGTTTCTGACCATGGAACCTACCCTGAAATTTTTGGTGTTGCTTTTTTACTCATAATTCATTGAGCTGGTCTCCATTTTCAAAGTTTCTAGGGCTTGTTCCCCGGGACAAGTCTAGCCATCCAATTACCGAACAAAAGTAGAACGGGAGAGATCAAAGTCAACGTTTTCTAAGCCCTCTTCTCTTTTTTTTAGTCTTTTAAATTATACGTACAAAGTGAATAAAAATCTAAGATAAAAATAATAAAGAAACCATATGGTTAGCATCACATTTCATATTAGACTTTTGGAACATATTATGCTCGTGGTGAAATTGACCTTCTAGAAGGAACCATATCCCACGACCCATCACTTCTTGAACAGCCACTTCTTTTTTTCTTTTTCTTTTTCTTTTTCTTTTTCTTTTTCTTTTTTTCCTGTCATTTTCCAACGTATTCTATTTCTAATTGACTAAACTAAAAAATAAATAAAAGAAATTAAAAGTTTATTTGTGAAATTTTAGTTTCTCAGAAAAATATTCTAAATTTCCTTCCACGTATTTTGGTATTCGACCACTGCCATCGCTAACTGAATACACTACCGACGTCGACATGTCTCTCTATCGTACGCCGTCTTCCTCCATTCTCAAACCTTTCTCTTCTTCCTATCCTCTCTTCTCCTCTGCTGCCGGTCACTACTCCGATCTTACTATCGAAACTTCTGTTCCCTTCACCGCTCACAAATGCGAGACCCCGTCGCGTTCCGTCCACACCAGCCCCAACGAACTACTTGCTTTCTTTCGTCAAATGGCACTTATGCGACGCATGGAGATTGCTGCCGATTCACTCTATAAGGCCAAATTGATTCGCGGATTTTGCCATCTCTACGATGGCCAGGAAGCTGTGGCTGTTGGAATGGAGGCTGCAATCACCAAGAAGGACGCCATTATTACCGCTTATAGAGATCACTGTACCTTCCTCCGCCGTGGGGGAACCCTTCTGGAGGCACTCGCCGAGCTCATGGGCCGCCAGGCTGGGTGCTCCAAAGGAAAAGGAGGTTCGATGCATTTCTATAAGAAGGACGCCGGATTCTATGGTGGTCATGGTATTGTGGGGGCTCAGGTACCTTTAGGATGTGGTTTGGCTTTTGCTCAGAAGTACTCGAAGGACGGGACCGTGACCTTTGTTCTTTACGGCGACGGTGCAGCAAATCAGGGTCAGTTGTTTGAGGCGCTCAATATATCCGCGCTTTGGGATTTGCCAGTGATTTTCGTCTGTGAGAACAATCATTGTGAGTAGTTTAGACTTTTCGTTGGTTTCTGAGAATAATCTGTGCTTGTGCTTCGATACCTTTTACGTTGTTCATAATTTATAGCCTGCCTTTCAACAGCCTATTTAAAATTATTGATAGTTTATAAATGTTTGTGGGCAATACAATCTGCAATAAGCATAATGGGATCAGTATAGTTTGTAGCGTTAGCTTGATGAATAAACACAGATTGATCAATGAGCTGATATTAATTGTCTTTCGTTGATACAGATGGTATGGGAACTGCAGAGTGGAGAGCAGCCAAAAGTCCTGCCTACTATAAACGTGGGGACTACGTCCCAGGAATAAAGGTAGCAATTTCATTTTAATTAGATGAGAATTGGGTGTTATAATCCTAGAGTTACAGAATTATACAATATTTGTTCTTTCCTTGAAAGTTGAACTTCATGAACTGGTGCAAGCCTTTCGCTTGTTTGGTATTTGTTTCTTTTCCACTTCTTTAAACAGGCAATCGTTTCTTACATTTTGTTGTAGGTGGATGGCATGGATGCCCTTGCTGTTAAGCAAGCTTGCAAGTTTGCTAAGGAGCACGCCTTAAAGAATGGACCCATTGTGAGTTTGCCTTTCTTGGTCTTTAATATGACTCTGCTCAATGTATAATGGGTTTGATTGTGCTGAACAAAAGACGTATATGGCATTTGTTATGAACATGTTCCTGTTAAGGAATATATTATATCTGTTTCAAACAAATAAAGCATGTCATGGCCTGATTCTCTTTGTTCTTGTTACTTTTTCATTCATTTTCAAAATGTTTGAGATGATGAATTGCGTTCATTCTTTTTTAAGTTACTCGGCCTCTGCATTGGCCCCATTCACTGTATCAATCTTCTCAAACATTCGAGGACTGAGAGATATTGTGAATTTTGGGAAAGTGAGGAATGATTTATTATGTTTAGAAGCAGTTTCTTTCTGCACAAAAAGGTCACGATAGAAAATGAAGTATTCTTAGAAGTGGGAGTGTTTTGAAGTAGGCATTATTTGATCTCTGTGGTGATCATGTATAAGGCTTAGTCTCTTGGGCACTGCTTGCTTTGTTCTCCTTCCACTTCAAATTTAGTTGATCGTTCTTAACTTTCAACTTCAGATTCTCGAGATGGACACTTACAGGTACCATGGTCACTCCATGTCCGATCCTGGAAGTACCTACCGTACGCGTGATGAGATTACTGGTATCAGACAGGTCTGTTCTTCCTCACATTCCACTTCAAAATTAACTTGCCACACCTTCATTACTTCTTTGTTCTGAATAAATTGTCTCTGATGACCCACCAGGAGCGTGATCCAATTGATAGAATTAGAAAACTGTTATTATCTCATGAGATAGCCACTGAAAAGGATCTGAAGGTATCTCTACCTTTCAATGATGTCTTGAGGTTCTACATTTAGTACCAAAGAGATGGAAAGGGGATTGATTGAAAAACATGAATTTTTTTTATTGTGGATCATCAGGATATTGAGAAGGAAATGAGAAAAGAAGTAGATGAAGCCATTGCTCAAGCCAAGGTGAGATGGTTCGACTTTCATTTAGAAAGTTGGGGACTTTGAACAACTTCGTCATGAGATCAGACATCGGTTGGGGAGGAGAATGAAATATTCGTTATAAAAATGTGAAAAACCTCTCTCTAGCATACATAAGCATAACAAAAAAGACAACATCTGGATTGGGCTGTTACGTATGTAATTCAAGAAAAACTCTGCTTTGCTGATCGCTATCTTGTTCATGTTTCAGGAAAGTCCAATGCCAGATCCTACCGAACTTTTCTCGAACGTGTACGTAAATGGATTTGGAGCCGAGGTAATGTGTTCCATCTCTTATCAAAATGATTGGAACTGAATTTACATATCCAATGGCTTGATTGGATGTGTTCACAGGCATTCGGAGCAGACCGAAAAGAAGTAATGGCCGTTCTTCCATAAGTAAGCAGACCAGACCAGACCAGACCAGAGGCGGTTTAAACATTATACCACTCGAACCAAAACCTGATGGGAAAAACTCAGAAAAATAATAAAAAAAAATATTTGTGGATTAATGTTTAAACCGCCCACGAGAATCGTTGGGCGGCGGTGCTGCTTGTGACCCTCAACGGTCGCAGCCCATGAATTAAAAATTCCTTTCAACTTTATATCCTTTTCTCATTCTTTATTCCTCTTTTTAAATCTTTCCACTTCATTCCATTTTAACATATATTTTTTTTAACGTAAAGAACACTTTTGAACTCTTTTTAATTTTATAATGAATTTTTCTCAGTTGAAAAAGTTATTGCTAAAATTTTAATAATATTTTTTACAATACATTGATTAGATACCAAATATTTACATAAATAAAATATAAATACTTATCACTATTTTTTATAGATTTTTTTTTTTTGGGATAAATAGTAAATTGCTATAAATTTTAGGTAAAAATATCATTTAACTTTACATTTGTTTAAAAAATCCTCTTAAACTATTTAAAGAGTTGAAAATGTACCCTTTAAAATTTCAAAATTTTCCAATTTTTTAAAAAACTTAAAAAATACTTTTAAATTTTTCTAAAAGATTTAAAAATACATTTTGACATTTTAAATATTTGAAGGCATTGATGAAACGTTATCAAAAGCTTAAAATATTTTGTTAATTTTATCCAAAATTAATAGTAAAGATATACTTAGACTTTTTATTTTTTTTAATTTAAGAATATTATTGAAATTTTAAAAAATTTAATAGTATTTTTTAGACAAAGTACAAAATTTAAATTTTTACAAATTAAACGCAAATTCTTAAAAGCTTAGGAGCATGTTCTTCGACTTATTTTTAATCTTCCAATTTATTATCTAAACGAGAGAGCAGTCAATTTAAAATGTGGAGCTTCAGCTATGACATCATCATTAAATTTTTTAATTTGGTAGGTTATAACATATTTAATATGTTTAACATTTATTTTATTCTTAAGAATAAAATAATACAAAATGCCGTAGTGCCTTTTCACTCTTTTGTTTTCCTTCTACCAATTTTATTTATTTCATAAATAATAATTTAACAACTCTAATTTTGATTTTTTTTAAAATAGGAAAATAAACAATATTGGGTTACAAGTCATAAGCGGGGCACGTGGGTACAAGTTCCTTGGTGTGTGTGCCAGCTGTTAAATTACATGTTATATTAATTAAGTTGAATGATGAAATATTTAATTTACTTCTTTTTTAAAATCTGAAATAAATGCTTAGCGAATATTAACGCATTAAAAAGATCGTGCCAAGAGAGAGAGAAAAAAAGATTTAATGAATGAAAAAACAAATAGACGTGGCAGACATGTCAGACAATTATGTGGACTTTCTCTAAATTAATTTTTTTTTTTTAGGAAATTACAATTTTTTAATAATTGAAGAAATTACCACGTAATATATTTAATGAGAAAATAATTCAGCCTAAAAATAGACAACATTTACAGGAATATGGTGGGGGGGAAGTAAAGCTGGCAGAGGAGGGAGAGAGGGAGTGTCCAAATCAATTCATAGTTCGGCTGACTGCTGAGCTGGCTTTATCATTTTTCATAGCTGGACTCCACACTATTTAATTTCTCTTTTTTTAAATCAAATATTTATTTA